TTATTTAAAGAAGTGTCCACTGGACCCCTTACACTTTCTCTATGATACAATTTTAGCTTAAAAAACACTTAATTACTGCTTTTATTAATTTAGGTTCAATTTATTTAAAATTTTTTAAAAATCTTACAAGTTTATAAATCAACAATCATTACATGTAAAAAAAATATTTACAAATAAACTTAATAGAAGATACTTTTATGACACCTTCCATGCACAGGATAATAGGTTTTCAAATAATGCACTTGTTGACTGCAGGCTCCTTCTGTCTGCTGTTCTATTATTTAGTGATCACATTCTTGCTATTCGCTGCCTGAGGCATGACCCTAAGAGATGCCCCTAGAGGTAACAGCCTCATTATAGGGAGGGCCCTGCTTAAGCCTTGAATGAAGGCGAGTGCAGTTAAATGATAAGACTAACATTTTTGTGGATTATATGTTGGTTTTTGCTGTGGATTATATCTTACCGACAACCTAACATTTCTCTCTCTCTCTCAACTTATTTGTGGTTGTTTAATTTTTGGGCCTTGTCATCCCAAAGAGACATTGTCACTTTGCCCTTGCATGGCATTGTTTATCTTCCTAGCATTCAAAAAAATTCAAAACCCTGGCATGTAAGAAGCACAATGAAGTCAAACTCATACTAATCGGATGCTGATAAATAAAAAGCTTCACATAAAAACAGACTCATTTGAATTTCTTGCCGTTTGTGAAACTTATTTATCATATACCCACCCTAATATTAACACCAATGCCTTGACTTATATTAATACTCAAGTACTATGCTTTCATGCTTGATGAGCCTAACATCTACTGGCATTGTATTCCGCACACTTCTCTCATTAATCTATTTTGCCAGTGTCAATCTCTCATTCTCTCTCCACCTTTTATTGCATTTTGATAACCCTTTATTTTCCTCTTTTATGACTATTTCTAATTGGCTGTTTAACCATTTCAGCTCTTGCAGCTGTATACCCCTTTTGGACTATGGCAATTTTACATTTCTATTATAGGCCTATTGATTTAGCAAAAACTTTGTCATTACTTAAGATAACCAAATAATACATCATCTTTCTTTTCAGGACATACAAGTCTTTCTTTTGGTGATATTGTCTTGCAAAAACACTTTTTTTTCCTATGCCATCTTTACACAAAATATGGACCAATAATACAAAAAACAACAACTTTTTTCTACTTTGACCAGTGTTAGTTTTAACTGCACCCTTTAATCTAAAGATGAATAGAACATAGTACATACATTGTAACAATATTGTTACATTCTATTTCTAATTAAAAATTCTGAATAGAGTTTGAAATATTGTTTAGAAGCTCTGTTTTTCACAGCGGTGGCAAATTTTCACTTTGCCAGTCAGAAATTACCGGAAAGAGCAGCATTGGGACTAATAGAAGAGGGAGAGGACAGGGCGTGCTAAGTATGTCCTATGAACTTTATTGATGGTTTTCAGGGTGTACATAATACACCCAAGCAGTGTTAATTTAGTCGACTAAAATGTTTTGTCATAGTTTTCATCTTCTGCATGTTTTCACTGATGAAAACAAACTAATAACTAAGTTTTAAAACACAGAATTAAAACTAAAATAATTCAGATGACTAAAATACGCATTTTAGTTTTAGTCGCATTTTAGTCATCTGAATTATTTTAGTTTTAGTTTAGTTTTGTCAACTAAATCTCCAATAGAGAAAATTGCAATGTATTTTCGTCATAGTTTTACTCCTATTAACTTAGTTTTTATTTAGTTTTCATCAGTGAAAACATGCAGATGAGCAAAACTATGACAAAACATTTTAGTCGACTAAATTAACACTGCACCCAAGGTGCACAACAGGTTAGGCATGTCTGGCTAAGAAAACTCCCTCAACAGTCTTGCCACCATATTACTAGATGTGGGATCTTATTCAATTTTGCCTTATAGCCTAAACATCTTGAAAGGAAAATACTGTATAATTGTTTTCCTCTATCAGACAGTTCACATGAGCAACCATGGCTTTAAGATACTTTCCTGTACATTGCTTGATGTTATTTTGGGTCTCTTGTATCTAGTATAGATTACCCTAAAGGGCACGTATTGTGTATTTTCAGAGAGCACATATTTTGAGTTATTATTGCCTTGCCAATCTCAAAGTGAACCAGTTGCTAGGCTATAAATCCCTTGATAGCTCCAGTTATCCTCCTCCCTTAGAGTGGGGATTGTTTACCTATGAGAATGCAGGGCCCTTGACAACAGACACCTTGCAGTAGAGTCCTGTAGGACTAGATTCGGGATCCCCTGGCTTACTGCAGACTTACCGGGACTAAGTGTACTGCCTTAAAACAAGTCTGTTCTGTAGCGCTGCTTCCCAGCAGAATGAGAAGAGCCAGGGCCAAAGAAACTCCTCTATCTAATGCTAGCAGCTGTAGAAGATCTCCTGAGGCAGGTGGCATGATTCATGCCAATCCCTACAGCCAAAGCTCTTAGGCTTCTTCACATACTGCCTTTCTATTGACACCAAATGACATAGGCTGCATGCAATGGGACATTGCATGCAGCCTATGTCATCTGTAATACACCTAGTATGTAAAGGTGAGATAATACACCTAGTATGTAAAGGTGAGATAATACACCTAGTATGTAAAGGTGAGATATAACCCTACTTAGATGGGCCAGGGGGCTCAAAGATATCACATTTTGGAAATACCAGACAGGACTTAACCTGCATTGCATAAAAGATTACAGATGTGAACTATTTTTTTCTCAGCTTGTTGTAAAGGTATTGATTGTACTAATAATGACCTAACTCTCTGACAAACTGCTAATATTAAAATACAAATCCCAAAAAAACTCAGCATCTCACTTTTTTGTCAGAGCAAATGGTCATATTTATTCCTTTACTTACCCATAAAGAACGGCCCGAAGAACAGATACCAGTAACAGGACCCAAATATTCATGGGCATCATTCAACCCACAACAGCACTGGATCAGTAAAAAGGGTGTGAGAGAAGCAGTGCCGGGGATTGGGCTAGTATATTTTTATTTTCAACCACTGCAGGGAGATAGTTTATTACATTAATTACCCAAATTGGAATTGGGCTTTAAAGCAGAGATTTATCTCCTGGATGACACAGTAAAAATTGTAGAAAACACTAGTAGTGATACCTTTAATTTGTACTGTAACTAACCAGAAGCAGAGATACTGGAAATCAAAGAAACAACTTAAGAGCAGTGCCAGAATTTGCATCAGATCAGTATGAAATGTACTATTAAAGTACACAACTTCTTTATTCTCCCAATCATTCTCAGAGGTCTTAACAGAGGATTTACACCCGGATCACATACATAGAGCTCTGATATGTAAACTTACAAAATTGGACCCTCTGAGGTATTTTGACCTATGATGCCATTTTTACCAAAATAGCCAGTTTTGCGTTCTCTAGATCTGCCTCAAAAATCACTTTCAGAGGGGTACTGCTTAAGATACTTCCAAATGTATTGCCTACTATCCTGTTAGGATGGCAACACATGAAACCTCATACATTACAGCTCCCTAAACACAATATTCATTGTGGAAGGGGCTTCCTATTTAAGCTTTTCATTGAACACAACAGCTTCAATATATGGTCACTAACCCAATTCCCAGCACGCTACACAAAATAGGAATATTGCTTCAAGCACTCACTTCAAGCAAATGATATGACCGCAACCACAAGAGAATGGAAATACAATGTTTCTCCATTGTATTTATATAGGAAGTGACATGACTTAGAAAGGTTATTTGTGTTCACAAACTTGTAAACATGTTGCCATCATGCTAATTTTGTGTCCTCACTAACTAACATTTGAGATAGATTGTATCCCACCAACCAACATTTTCACCAAGTCACCTGTACAAATGTTGCCATTGTGCTAATTTGTGTCCTCACCAGTTCACCTTTACTAACCTGATTTTATCTTAATGTTATGCTAACAATTTATGCAAACCATTTTTTTTCCATGTCTGTGTGTCACAAAGGTATGTTGAAAAGATACCAAAACTTTAGTAAAGGAAAATGCTATTTTCTTTTTAGCTTTAGCACGTAGCTACATTGTAGTAACTACATTGTAGTATTGCTTTAGCAGTTATGTTGTGGGGTATTTTTTTACATTTTTAAGAATACATAAATTATGTAATACTTCATCCAGACAAATTACAGGAAAATGCATATTTGTTTTCATAATTTTCAATATTTCTTCCTAATTAAAACCTAGGAAATACAATATATGTGATACATTTGCTACCAAACTAAAGCTGAACTTCAGGCAGATGTAAAAGACACATATTAGCTCTGTATTCATTAATATATCCTTAACTGTATTATTTTAAATTCAAGCAGTCTAAGTACCTGAATTTCACCTCTTACTAGCCTTTGAAGTCCCTGTACAGCTGAACTTAGACTTGGGAAGGGAACAGGCTAATAGGAGGAGAGAAAAGAGTGAAAGAGAGCTGTGTGCATTAGTTTGTTGCATCTCCTTTCACCATGCAGTCACAGGCTGACCTGTAGGTGTTATCAAAATGCAGTAGAGGAAAATGAGGTCTCCTCCCCTGCTTAACATGACCGTGGCAAAACCGTGTAAATCTAAGAACTGGAAGGACAGAGTTACAGTTTCTACAGTTTTTATTACTGTAGTTACAGTTACAGGAATAAAAACTATTATTAAAAAACAAAACAAAAAGAGGCTTCATGTGTGTTACAAAATGTATTACATGTCAAAACTTTTCCATGCATACGGGGAGGAGAAATATAAAGACACCTTCTATTGCTATTTAACCATCATTTATTCATAGAGACATCGTCTCCAATGTGTTTCTTTTGCATTTACTAAGGGAGGTCTTTAAATAATGTTAGAATGTTCCAGTAAAACAATGAGGGTGATAAACATTTTAAATAGAAAATCCCTATAATGATGTATATATGCATAATTCAGAAATTGATAATTAAACTATACTTTTGTCTATTTCTTTTCAGGATTTCTGCACAGCACAGCTTAACTAACAGGTGTTAATGAGACAGTGGGAAGGATTGGACCAGACCATGGCAAACAGTTATGTAACAGTTTCTGATGCATACTGTCTTGCTGAGCCACTACCTTACTATGGTGAGTCAAAATTGCCGAGGCAATTGTCAAGCTGCCTAGTGTGATAAATCACTTCTGGACATTTGATAAATTGAAATCTTTGGTCAAATGAGCTTGCATTGTTTATTTTTGTAAATGTCTAAGAAAAGATCGAGGTAGTCATTCCTGATGTATGGTGATTGCTCCCTTTACTTGTTGGAGGAGTTTTATGTTAAAATTAACCCCTGCATGCAGTGGGGCTACCCACACACTGCAAGGGTTAAGTGCTCATTTTAATCTAGGGACAAAAGTAAAGAACATATACTCACCTGATTCTCAGTCCTGCCTGGTGCTAGACTGGTCCCCTCCATCCTTTCCTGCCCCAGGCTCTGGTGTTCTAAGGACCCATAACATCATCACGTCTAATGCAGGTCCATTAGACATGAAGACGCTAAGGGACATATCACAGCCGGAGAGGAGAGACGTGAGCTGTCACTGCCACAGGATCGAGGATCAGGTTAGTGTATCCTCTTTATTTTTGCCCCTAGACCAATATGCCCCACTGCAAGAGTTAATTTTTAATATATCCTGGAGTTTTTCTTTAAGCTCATTTGGCTATGGAAGCTCAGCTAATTATTTGCTTTGAAATTCTTAAAATTTAAAGGAGAACTATGGGGTCAGTGCTTTTCCCCATAGTTCTCCTAAGGGTCACGGGAGGACATAAACTAGCGTCCTCCCATGACCCAAAGCTCAGTATATCGCGAGCTACAGCTCGAGGTATACTGAGACCGCCGCAGCCGGGACGGATCCCGACATTACTGTCGAGATCCACCCAGCTGGTGATTGACAGCTGGCTCTGCCTATCTAGAGGATGAGTCAGCTGTGCCCTCCCCCTCCCCCTCCTTAGTCCGTTCTGCCAGTCAGCGCCGGAGGATGGGACCAGGTAGGGGAGAATCCCTGCCTGGGAGCCGTGAGTGACAGTCAAGTATGTACAAGTATGCCTTGGTAGTATTTCTATGGGTGTTAAATATTTTGCTAGATTCAGCTTCTATTTGTACAATCCTCACCATATAACACATGCAACAACGTGTCTAGGGAGAATGGTGCTGCTCATAACCGAGATATCCTGAGATGGAAATTGTAACTCATTGACAAGCCAAAGTCACATTTATTTTCTTTAGAGATTGCCCATTGTGTGCAAGTGATGCCAGCTTTACATATAATGTGCATACAAAAGCTGATCATTGCCCAAAAAAATATTTTAGACTTACTCTACTAATAATTGTTAAATTCACATCAGCGCCAGAAATCAGATTCTTAGCCCAGGATGATTGCACATACACACACCGCTTCAGTCAGGGAGACCAAATATACCTATAGAAAAAAAAGCCAGACAAAGGCACCTTTGCTAGTGTAGAAAACCTTTATTAACTGTAAATAGTAAAACCATCAAATGTACTCACAAAAGTGAGGATTCACATGGCCATCTCAAATCTATGCTGCAACACCAACCACACAGAGCTCTGAGGAAGGAGGCGTGTCCCCAGAAACGCATCAGCATCTAGCAGTGGAGTATGGCGACACCATCCGTCTGTCTGTCATCATCCCTGCGTAATCATTTTTTGTCCCTCATTGGATAATATGGCTGGTGTTGCAGCATGAATTTGAGATGGCCCTGTGAATGCTTTTGTGAGTACATTCAATGGTTTTGTCTGGCTTTTGTTTTCTACTAATAATTCACCTGTGCAGTGACTGACCCAAAGGCTAACATAAGAAAAATTCAGTATATAGCAGAAGAATGTAACTTGCCAAATAAAGGGCCATCACAATTACCAAATAATTGTGGGGAATATTGAAATAATAATTCTACCTAAAAAGCTTAGATCATATAGCATATTTAAAATCTTCTTGAGCTGGTTAAATTTAGTGTCATATGCAACTGAATGATTTTTAATTTATGTTATATTGTGACTGCAGGGTGAACATATAATCTTTTAGTTCCCATTTGGACCACATGTTGTTTTGACGCACGTGCTTTATCACAATGCATTAAAATATGCTGTGGTATGCTGCATTAAGGCATCCTATTTTTTTTGGGTTGGGCTGGCAGTGCACCTCTACGCACTGAAAAGTTAACCAGACCTTTTTTTTTAAACAAAGGCATGAGCCTTATAGTGCACTAGAAAAGCAAAACTTTCCCAGCACACTCACCAGCCAGCCTGCAAAAAACAAATGATTGTCTAACTATTAGGGTTAAAAACAGAGGTTTTGTTGTTATAGTGCACTAGAGTACAAATGTGTTGGCTTCTGTAATAGTGCATTGAGGTGCCATTAAAAATGAATGGCACTGCACTTCATGCGGTAATGTGTTGTATTGTGGTAACACATTCATTTTACTGCAAAGCTGCTGTATTTCAAGCTGCTTACATTCTGGAACATGTATTACTTCTTAGCTTCTTACTTTAGAATGTGTGTACTCTTGAGTTATCTATGTCAAGCAGTTTTTTTCTTAAAGACATATATTAAAAAACATGCTTCTGTGGTCTGGAAGAAATCATGTTCCAAGTACTGTATAAAGTTCATGTTGGAGTGAAAGATCATTACGGTTTCATGAGAAATATTTTCTTAAAATTACATGGCTGCCTATGGCACACAATAAGAAAGTTAACTTACTAAAATCGATCATATAATGTATTATTATTATTATACAGGATTTATATAGCCAACAGTTTGCGCAGCGCTTTACAATAAGATACAAATACAATTTTTTTTATTTATTACAGGTATTTCTATAGCGCCATCAATTTACTCGCTTCACACCACACTCCTTACTGGTATTTCCCATTTTATAGTTTGTGATGCAGTGATAGTGGATGGCACCACTTCAAATCCAAGGAGTAAAGTATATCACCAGCACACCAAAGTAAAATCTTCAACGAGTGGTCATTTTATTAATATACACACATCTCGTCACAAAGCAACGTTTCGTGGCCACTCGTCATGCCTTGTGAAGGGGATCTGAGTGGCCCCAAAACGTTGCTTTGTGACGAGATGTGTGTACATCAATAAAATACCACTCGTTGAAGATTTTTCTTTGGTGTGCTGGTGATATACTTTACTACTCACATATTGTACATTCACATCAGTCCCTGCCATCAAGGAGCTTACAATCTATGGTCCCTATCTCTCATGCATACATACAGGGCGAATTTAGACAGGAGCCAACGAACCTACCATCATGTCTTTGGAGTGTGGGAGGAAACTCGAGGGAAAATACACAAGAAGCACAGGGAGAGAATGCAAACTCCATGCATTGTCCTGGCCATACTCTTTATATACCCTAAAGTAGTTCACATTGCAATATAAAGTCGCTGTATATATTTGATGAACTAAAAATTATTTTCAAACTGAAAAAGACAATACAGCAATGTATCAACATCTATAGCATTTAGTCTATTGCACACATGGCCAGAATCTGCTAAGATGCAGCCAATCACTTTCAGATTTGGGCTATGCAGTTAAAGGAAACTTGTTCTGACAGAAATATGGGGTTACTATTACTGACCTGAAAAAGCTAAATGCCTGGCTGCCTATGGTATTAATACTTTCTCACTGACTGATACAGAACAAGCATGCAGCATGAATTAAAGTCTTCACACTGCAGAGATCAATCTGATCTCAGTAGCCACTCAGAGTAGTTGCAAAACATGTGATCACCACGATTAACTAAGATTAACAAAGTTATTAAAATAAAACAAATAGGTTATTTCATTATGTCAGTGTTTTAACTGAGGCATGCTAATTAGTGTTAGGTCTGTTAATGTTTTGCAGTTTCTACAGTATACATACTTGTTTATCAACCAAAAAGCCCTGATGTATGTATACATACCTACACATATTTTGAGTCCATGTATTGAGGATAAATAGGAGAAAATAGTATAATAAAAACATTTAGAATACAGTATCATAGAAAGTAATGAAAAATGCACAAATATTACACTTAAAACTAAAACTGCATTTTCCCCCTCATTTCTGTACATTGCTCGACCTATATATTAAAGCAGAACCTATATATTAAAGCAGATTTTTTTTTAAATGTGCAGTGTAAATATTAGACATGTAAAGGCTCAAAAATGTGTTCAGTTTCATTTCGGATCAATTTTTTTTGTTTTCAGATTTTGGATCCAAATTCAATTCATTTAATTATTCCGAATTCTATATTTTTTATTTTCAGTTTGGATCGAGGCGAACGTTTTCGGTTCAGATCAATTTGAGTCTATTTGGATGGAGTTTATTATGTTGTTAAATGTGAAAAATACATTAAAAAAAAGCGTGGGGTCCCCCCTAAAATTTCTACCAGACCCTTCAGGTCTGCCAGGAATTTAAGGGGGAACCCCAACAAAAAGAATAAGTGAGAGATCTCCCCCAAAATCCCTTACCAGACCCTTGATCGGAGCAGCGGCTTGGCAGAGCAGGAATGGGGGAGAAAGACGATTGTGGGGCCTCCCCTCTCCTACATCATACCAGGTCACATGCCCTCAACATGGGGAGGGTGCTTTGCCAGGGGGGCACTGCCCCCCGGCAGGGGGACTTATAGGAATCACCCAGATGTCACCCCCCCCTCAAGAATGAGTAAAGGGTAGTTGTCACCCTATTCATTCACCAAATAAACAGTAAAATAGTAAATAACACACAACACCATTTTGAAAACTACTAGTAGTACTTTAGTCTATTAGTAAATAAACACACCACACAGTTTTTGAGTCCTTTAATAATAAAAAAAAATGTCCCACAATATAAATCCATCGTCAATCACGTTGTCCAGTGACGTAGATCCTTGTGCGGACATGGCGGCGGGCTGCAGGAATTGTTTCTTTAATCGAGTCAGCGAGCGGCGGGCAACGTGATTGATAAGGATCTTCATCAATGGACAACGTGATTGATGATGGATTTACATTGAGGGACATTTTTTTCTGTTTCTGTTATATTAATAAAGGACTTGTCAAAAACTGTGTGGTGTGTTTATTTACTAATAAATGACTTTTCAAACTGGTGTGGTGTGTTTATTTACTATCTTACTGTTTATTCGGTGAATGAGTAGGGGTAACAACTACCCCTTACTCATGAACGAGTGGGAGGTGGCATCTGGGTGCCCCCTGTATGAAAGGGGGCACCCAGATACAGATAAGCCCCCTGCTCGCCGCCCCCCACAGCCACCGGGCCAGGGTTGTGTGGAAGAGGCCCTTGTCCTCATCGACATGTTGAAGGCATGTGGAGGGGGCTGGCCTCATGATCACCCCCCCTTCCTGCTCTGCCAGGCACTGCTCAGTTCAAGGGTCTGGTAAGGGATTTGGAGGGGGGGGCACACTTTTTTGGGGGCGTTGGGGCCCCCCCTAAAAATCCTACTACATTCTAGTAGGAATTTGTGGGGGACCCCATGGTGGCTTTTTCGATTTTCATGTCAACACATCAGTTTTTTTTTGCCATGCATTCAAATTTGGAAATTGGAATGCCACCAAATGTCCAAATTTAAAGATATTTGTCAGAATTTTGATTCGAAATGAAAAAAAACTTAAATGTCTAGTGAATATAAATGAAGTATTCAGAGATGTATGTCACTTTATAGTAGTATTAAACTCTCAATTCTTTTTTTTTCTCTATAATAAATGCAGATCAAACAAATATACATTACCCAGCAAAGTATTTATTTACATATTTCCCAAGCAATTACAGGCATCATGTTTCCAAATGACTGGATCCAGCTTGGCCTCCCTGAACTTCCTGTGTAGTACAAGATCACAAGGGACAGAGCAGTCTCCAGCAGCTGTCCTTTTGCAAGGGTGGCTCCATAGGACCCTGTAAGAGAAAGGAGTCACTCTAAAACAAGATATCAGGGCCAGTGCTCAGGGGGCCAGCTGATTCTGCAGGAAACTGAGGGGTCTATTCACGAAGCTGCCGAGGGATCTGGCCGTAGCTTCGGCCGATCCTTCGGCTAGCTTCGGCCCCAGGACCCCTTCGGTTAAGTAGAACCGAGGGTGTGCCTTACTGTAATCCATGGTTGTTTCCCTTCAGATACAGGACAGGTTGGTGCCATGTCTATACTGGTAGAAATATGGGGTTACCATTACTGACCTGAAAACGCTAGCCTGCCTGGCTGCTTTTGGTTTTAATACTTTTTTATTGACTGATACAGAGCAAGAAGAACTCCAGTTATTTAAAAAGTTAACCCTTGTAGTGAGACAACCCCCACATTACAAGGGTTAACTGCTCGTTTTTCTGTAGGGGCCGGAATACAGAAGATATACTTGGTTCTGCAGTAATTGGCGCTCACCTCTCTCCCCCTCCGCTCCAAATGTGGTATGTCACTCATTAGACGTGCATTAGACGTGATGATGTCACCAGCACTTAGACCACCCGAGCTCAGTGGAGAAGAGGACCAGTCTAGCAGCCAGGTGGGATCGAGAATCAGGTGAGTATATTTCTTTTATTTGGGCCCCTAGACCAAAATGAGAGTTAATCTGATCGCTCATTCACTCGGCTGCCCTCGGCAGCTTTGTGAATAGACCCCTAAGTCTTTAAAAAAAAGGTTGACACATTTGGTCTGGTTATGAACGTTTTGATCATAGTATTATCTTAAAGCTGAATTCTAGGCAGATATAAAATACACAATATAATGCAGCTCTGTTTCATGTAATGCAAGCAATGTAAGTACCTGAATTTGACTTGGTATCTGCCTCTTGCAAGTCCCTCTACAGCAGAACTCAGAGTGGTAGACAGATAAGCAGCACAAAAGTCAATCACTGTATTAACAGGGAACACAGACAGAAATGAGCTCATCAGTCTGATGGGGTATGGCTATAAGAGCCATTTTACTTTCACTGATATTAGGAAAGTTAGCTCATATATGTTACTAATGGAACTGCGCTGTTATGGATATCAGAGATGATTTCCAGTTCTAGACTGAGAGTGAGAAAAGGTATGAAGATTAATCTTCAATGTTGTTACACCCAATTACTTATGTTATTATTTATTTATTACAGGTAGTTATATAGCGCTGAGAATTTACACAGCACTTTGCATCTGTCCCTGCCCTCAAGGAGCTTACAATAAAGGGTCCCTATTGCACACGCATGCGGGGCCAATTTAGACAGGAGCCAAATAACTTTTCAGCATGTCTTTAGAGTGTGGGAGGAAACCCACACAAGCACAGGGAGAACATAAAAACCCATTGTAGATAGTGCAAACCATGAAGCCACTGTGATGCCCAATCACTATGATACATTTTTTATCAGCATGATAGAAGTTCAGACCATTATTTTCACAACATAGGTTCAGTATTTGGTTGTGTCCAGGTTAATGTTCTGTCTTAACGTGGACTTTTACCCCCTTTCACAAAAAATCACATCAGCATGCAGCTCTGCATGCTGACCTAAAATCATCTTACATTCATTAGTTAACAAACTTGTTTTTCATTTACTTACAAATAGAGTCATCTACTTCCTGGTTAACTTCTGCCACAAATGATGTAATGTGCCAAAGTGTTGCAACCTGGGAAGGTTACATCAGCAGAGCATTACTGGGAAATCTCATCTTTAATCTCATGAGATCTCAGGGAAAGGCATTTTCCGCCTCTGAGATGATGTACATGTTCACATGTCTAGTCACATGTCTGGCCACGTGTCAGATTTTCAGGAAGTAAATGGGGAGCTAGTAACCTACCTTAGTCAACATGGCCACTGTCAGAAGACTGGGAGAGAAAAGAGAAATAAGGTATGCAAAGAATACAAAGCCGGCAATTATCTAGAAGTATGTGTTTGTAGATTGTCATTGCTAACATTTCTAAAGGTGTGTTTAAGTTACTATTTAAGTTACTTCTCTTTCTCTGTCCTAAGTAAGTTATAGTGCTGAATAACCATTGTGGAAAAACAGAATCAATGCTGATCAGCATACATTTTCTTTGCAGTGACTAACAAAAAGTTGTGTGTTGGAATTTAATTTAAGCTATGCCAAGGCTGATCAGCAACAAAAGTACTGCATTGTCAAGCTTCTCAATGTTTATTTTCACAGATGTTCTGCCAGAGCACATTAATTATCAACTCCCGGATTCAGACTTCCAGGCGACTCCATATTGTCAGTATACAAATATGCCTTATTCACCTGTGTTGCAATCCCCATCTTCTCAGTGCCATTACAGTACCTACAGTCTGGAAAATACATATGGAGATGGGCAGTATGTTCTGAGCTCCTGTGATTTTAGTAAACCTTCAGCCAACATGACCCATAGTGTGGAAGAAATGTACTCTACGATGAAGAGGCCCAGAATTAGTCATTCTACTATTCGGATGAAAGGGCATGAAGAGCTTTGTGTGGTATGCGGTGATAAAGCATCAGGATATCACTACAATGCACTTACCTGTGAAGGATGCAAAGGTAAGCAAAGGTCATTTATTAAGAAGTAAGAATGAAAGAAAACAACTGGGGAAAAAAATCTCTCTCTCTCTCTCTCTCTCTCTCTCTCTATATATATATGTATAATGCAGTCTGTCACTAGCAGGTTGTTTTTTTTTACAAATATCAGCTTTTATCCTGTGCACAGGGTGACAACCCTACTGTGTGATTTCACTTCTGAAGCAACAGCGTTTGCACACAAAAAGGACAAATAATGGACCCACTGGCAGAGTCAACAGATAAATAAACTATGTTACTAAAGGGACTAAGAAAAACAAAACCGGTTGTGTTCATTCATTGTTTGAACCTTCTGAGTCCTAATGCATGAACAAACAGAGTATTCTTTTTGAATTAATTGTTATTAAAACATTTTAATATGACAAACATTTGTAGGGCAGTGTGGAACATTTCAAATCCTTGGATATTATCTTTAAATTAGGGATGCACATACACTATATTACCAAAAGTATTGGGACGCCTGCCTTTACACGCACATGAACTTTAATGGCATCCCAGTCTTAATCCTTAGAGTTAAATTTTGAGTTGGCCCGCCCTTTGCAGCTATAACAGCTTCAACTCTTCTGGGAAGGCGTCCACAAGGTTTAGGAGTGTATCTATGGGACTGTTTGACCATTCTTTCAGAAGCGCATTTGTGAGGTCAGGTACTGATGTTGGACGAGAAGGTCTGGCTCACAGTCTCCGCTTTAATTCATCCCAAAAGTGATGAATTACGGGTTGAGTTCAGGACCCTGTGCAGACCAGTCAAGTTCCTCCACCCCAAACTCACTCATCCATGTCTTTATGGACCTTGCTTTGTGCAATGGTGCGCAGTCATGTTGGAACAGAAAGGGGCCTTGCCCCAACTGTTCCCACAAAGTTGGGAGCATGAAATTGTCCAAAATGTCTTGGTATGCTGATGCCTTAAGAGTTCTTTTCACTGGAACTAAAGGGCCAAGCCCAACCCCTGAAAAATAACCCCACACCATAATTCCCCCTCCACCAAATTTTACACTTGGCACAATGCAGTCAGGCAAGTACCGTTCTCCTGGCAACCGCCAAACCCAGACACATCCATCAGACTGCCAGACAGAGAAGCATGATTCGTCACTCCAGAGAACACATCTCCACTTCTCTAGAGTCCAGTGGTGGCTTTACACCACTGCATCCGACGCTTTGCATTGCACTTGGTGTTGTACGGCTTGGATGCAGCTGCTCGGCCATGGAAACCCATTCCATGAAGCTCTCTACGCACTGTTGTTGTGCCAATCTGAAGGCCACATGAAGTTTGGAGATCTGTGGCTATTGACTCTGCAGATAGTTGGCGACTTCTACGCAGTGTGCACTTCAGCATGCACTGACCTCACTCTGTCATTTTACGTGGCCTACCACTTCGTGGCTGAGTTGCTGTTGTTCCCAGTTGCTTGCACTTTGTTATAATACCACTAACAGTTGACCGTGGAATATTTAGTAGCAAGGAAATTTCACAGATGGACTTATTGCACAGGTGGCAGCCTATCACGGTACCACGCTTGAATTCACTGAGCTCCTGAGAGCGACCCATTCTTTCACAAATGTTTGTAGAAGCAGTCTTCATGCCTAGGTGCTTGATTTTATACACCTGTGGCCATGGAGGTGGTTGGAACACTTGGATCCAATGATTTGGAGGGATGTCCCAATACTTTTGGCTATATAGAGTATATTACGGATGCACTGATACCATTTTTTCCAGACCAAGTACAAGTACTGATACTTGTCCAGATACTCAAAGACAACAATTATTGATACCTTTTTTTATTGTCATGTGCCATTTTTCTAAAACAATACAAACTAATGATTTCAGGACAGTGGTGCAGTGCCAGGGCCCAGTTGCAGCTGCAACCGCTGTGACCCTGTTTGTTCTTGTGAAATGCCAAATATCAGTACTGGTATCTGAACTGGTAACTGTGCATCCCTACTTTAACCCTTTCGCTGCCAAGGACGTACGGCGTACAGAGCTACAAAAGTGCTTCCAGCTGGCCAGCTTCTACCGGGCCTGCGCTTTCAGAAAATATATGGTTTGGGGGGTCTTTTACAAACGCTAGTAACGCAGCAGTTGAAAATCAAATCAATGGGAAAAGTTGGCGGCATCTGCCTCTCATCCCTGCCTGGAGCCGCTCCAGGCAGGGATCTGTGACTCGATGGATCCTCGCTGCTGTTCCCCGCTTGCAGGTGCTGTGGCAACGGGGATAAAAAAAATATCCAGGGTTGGGGGGTGGGGCCGAGTTGCAAGCGTCGGCTGGCGGGGAGAAGCCACAAGTTTCAGGATGGCTGAGCGGTGAGGCGAACGGAGCCGCTGTCATCCTGTCAGTTTCCGGATGACAGAGGCTCTGTGCGTGGCCGTATGGAGGATCGATAAGTATCATTGATATTTAACAAATCCTCTGTGCAGCACAAACACCAGAGTGATCGCGTGATCACTCCGGTGTTTGTAAATAACTGGGGACACATAGGGGGTTATTCACAAGGCTCCGAAGGCAGCCGTGTGAATAACCAACCCGAAGTTGGGCCGTTCGGCTATTCACTTCAGGCTTGTACAGCTAATTTCAGCCGGGTACCAGCCCACATGCCGGGTACCAGCCCACATGCCCACATGGTTTGGTGACATCAAGAAGGGGAGGAAAGTCCTTTTTTTAACTGCTGAACCTGTAAAGGCACATGTTCTGCACTTTTGATACAAGGTCTCATAAGAGGGACACTGTATTTTTATTATAAAATGCAAAGGTCCACTACCAATGTCTGGTATATTATGTTCAAAATAAAATCTCTGGTAAATATGTAATGAATGTGATATTTGCTGGATTAAAAAAGGCATTTGTTACCGGAAGTACCTTTCCCCTTGTTGTCAATTTTTATTAAACCACAAAATGTACATGTATATTCGACTAGCAAATGTGCTCTATACATATAGGGAAAATGTCTCCCTTTTGAATGTGCAGTGAATGGCTTTATAAAAATGTTTCATAGGTTAGGAAAAATAAAAATAATAATGAAACTTACTATTTTGAAAAAAATTAAATAAAAACATATTTGGAAGAAGAGAGGTTAACATTGAGTGCTAGTGACTTTGCGATTTTACCTGCAGGTCTATTGTCCTCTGGTGACTGAAGGACATTATATTTCTTTCAGACTGAATTACATAAAATCATCACATTATTAAGGGTAGGGATGCACCGATACTTTTCGAGTACCAGTGCAGATACTTGGCATTTTCATTTTCATGAGAACTACCAGGGTTGCCGCGGTTGCAACTGGGACCTGGTTCTGGCACTCCACCACTTTTCTGAAATAATTAGTCTGTATTGTTTTAGAAAAACTGTCACATGACAACAAACAAAAATGTATCAGTACTCGTACTTGTAAGTACTCGGCAAGTACCAGTACTCGTACTCGCAAAACTGGTATCTCTGTATCCCTTTATTTATATTTATAAAAACAAAATTGTACATTACAACTGAGATGTACAAATCCCGGGAGCTCCGTGTGCTCCTTACAAATGACAGCTGCCTACTAATTTTTGAATTCTTCTCTAGTCTAGTCTTGGAGCTCAAAAGTATCGGTACATGTACTCGTACTTGTACTGAGTACTGTACTTGGTATCTGTGCAACCCTAATAAGGGGATCCATCAATAAAATGCCTATTGGTGGCAATGATAAAAAAAAAAGGCTGTAAAGGCCCACAAGTTCAAATGGAATACACATGTTCTTTTCTGTAGGCCATTTTATTTTCCATGGTTGTTTAGTCTATGCTGGCATTAAATACACCCCAGCTTTTTGCCATGTGAAAACCCAGAACGTTTGCTTTGTTTTGTCACTGACCAAATATTTAACTATTTCAGGTTTTTTTCGCCGTAGCATTACCAAAAATGCTGTATACCGATGCAAAAATGGTGGACACTGTGAAATGGACATGTACATGAGGAGAAAATGTCAAGAGTGTCGTCTGAAGAAGTGCAAGGCAGTTGGCATGCTTGCAGAATGTGAGTTAAAACATAACTTATTCATGCTAATATCATTCCTGTTGATACAAAATCAGACAGAAAAAAACAATCCTCTGAGAAGCAACTGCCAATTTAACCTCTTGCTAAGAAAAACATCTTTATGGTCTCATTGGCAGTCAGATTTTTCAAGAAATGCATTCAAGAAGAAAGGCATTATATATATATA